ACAAAATACACAGAACATATTTATTTATACTAAAAAAGTAGGCTGGGCGCGGTGGCTCACGCCTGTAATCCCAGCACTTGGGGAGGCCGAGGTGGACAGAGCAAGACTCCAACTCAAAAAAAAAAAAAAAAAGGAAAAAAAAAAAATATGGACTCAAATGTGGAGAAACTGGAATCCTCACAGACTGCTGGTGCTAATGTCAAATGTTGCAGCCACTTTGGAAAAGTCTGGCAGTTCCTTAAACAGTTAACACCTAGTTACAATATAACCCAGCAATTCTTCTCCTCAGTATGTATCTAACAGTAACTGAAAACACCTGTCCATACAAAAACTTGTACATGAAATGTTCACAACAGCATTGTTCATAATAGCCATAAAGCAGAAGTAATACATGTTTCCATCAACTCAAGGAAGGATAAAATGTGGTATCCATACATTATTATTCAACATAAAAACAAATGAAGTACTGATATATGCTACAACACAATAAACTTCAAGGAACATTAATCTAAGTGCAAGATGCCAGTCACAACAGACCACACATTATACACTGTGACTCCATAGGCAAAACTAGAGACAAAAAAGTAGGATGGTGGTCATTCAAGACTAGGAGGGATGGAGGGATTGAGGAATGCTAGCTAACAGGTGCAGTGTTTCTTTTTGGGGCCATGGAATGGTTCTGATTCTGTTGATGATTGTACAACTCTATAAATATATTAAAAAACTATTATACAGTTTAGGGCCAGGCGTGGTGGTTCACACCTATAATCCCAGCATTTTGGGAGACCAAGATAGGAGGATCACTTGAGGCCAGGAATTCGAGACCAGCCTGATCAACACAGTGAGACCCCCATCTCTATTTAAAAAAAAAAAAAAAAAAAGCTATTGTACACTTTAAATGGGTAAATTGGATAGTATATGACTTACAGCACAAACTGTTAAAAAAAAAAAAAAAGTGGCAAGAGGCTATTATCTACTTGCAGAGCAATCAAAATTCAACGTATCATCCAAGATGGGGGGAAAAAAATTCAGCACAGACTACACGTCGTCACTCTTGGCTTTTCTCCCTCTACTCTCTACTTCCAACCAGCCATGACCAACCTAGCGGCTGGTCAGGTAAAGACCAAAGGTGGAGTCAATGGCAATGGTGGAGGGTGGGGGAGTAAGCGGGAAGCAAAGACTAAGCAGCAGCTCTGATTATAGTGGGGAAAACCCAGAGGGCCTGGAGGGACCCACTGGACCTTCCTTCTCCTTAGTTCTGGGTTACTTAAACTGAAACTGTGAGTTTAACTCAACTACTACACAGACATGGGCCTATATACATAGTACAGGAAAGAAATGGCTACCAGAAATCATAAAAGGGACAGAGAAGAGTTCCTTTTACTGCCCATTTATTACCATGCAGGTTAAAAAACGGGAAAAGAGGCCGGGCGTGGTAGCTCACGCCTGTAATCCTAGCACTTCAGGAGGTCGAGGCAGGCGGATCATGAGGTACACACCCAGGGAAGAGAAGGGACTTGTCCAAATGTCACTCAAGTACTTGGTCCATAACATTAAGCTTTGTAATTCACCAGGTTAAATGTGACATCGTTCCATCCACCCTACCAATACTCCAAAGAAACTCAACTTCCTGTTCCCTCTCGAGGAAGTAAAACTTACCAGATAAAAAGGGGAACGAGGTGGTGGGGGGGGCTGGCGTCGAGGCCGGGGGCCACCAAACGAGGTAGCAGTGGAGGGAGGGCTGGGGGGATCAGAGCGCAATGTCAGTGTGTCAGGCTCATCCTTGGAAACAGGCAGCCGGGATACCATGGTGACAGGCAAGGGAGCGGCACCAGATGCCGAAACCGCAAGGGAAGATGCCTGGGAAGCTGGGGACTGTGTGGAGGCTGGGGCCAGCGCCAAGGTCTGAGCTGCAGCCGGGCCCAGCTTAGGAACTGGGGCAGGGCTCAAGGTCAGTGTCTGCACTGAAGCTGGGGCCAGGAGTGAAGCAGATGACGATGCTGGAGCCAAAGTCAGCGTGTGAGCTGCGGCTGGGCCCATCGGAGAAGCTGGAGCCAGAGGAGGTGCTGGAGCCAGAGACAGCGTCTGAGTTGGACCCAGTGGTGGTCCTGGTGCCAAAGACAGTGTCTGGGCTGGAGTTGGTACCAGGGATGATGCTGGAGTTAATGACAATGTCTGAGTTGGAAAGGGTCCCTGGGGGTTCCCCGTGCCCAAAGAGAGTGTCTGAGATGGAGATGAGCCTCCAAGAGTGGGTGCTAAAGCTGGGGCTAGGGCCAGTGTCTGTGTAGAAGCCGGGCTCGGGAGAGGTGATGGAACCGGGGCTGGTAGCAAAGTTTGAGTTGATGATGAAGCCAACACAGGGGTTGGAGCTGGTACCAGTGAAGCTGAGGCTAAAGAGGTTCCTGGAGTAGACGATGGAGCCATAACTGGAACCGGAGTCTGTGATGAAGCCAGGACAGGAGCAGGACCTGGCGATGGTGCCAGGACTGGAAGAGGAGCCAGAGGAGGAGCTGGAGAAGGAGCCAGAATTGCTGTCTGTGGAGATGCCATAGGAGCCAGAGGGGTGGCTAGAGCCTGAGATGCAGAAGATGCTGGAGCCAGAAGGGAAGCCTGAGCTGGAGCTGGATTTGGTGCTGCCGGAAAAGGATTGGCCAGAGCTGAAGCTGGCACCAGGACAGGTGAGCATGCTGGGGCCACAGTTGAGTTCAACCCTGGAACATGTGAAGAGGTGGGAGCCAACAACAGAGGGTGACCAGGTGTCTGAGATGAAGACAGGGACGGAGCTGTGGCCAAACCTAGAGTCAAGGCTGATGCTGACGGGGAAGCACCAGATGGTGCCAAGGATGGAGGTCCAGGAGCCGCTGGGACAACAGGTGCCAGTGGTGGAGTCACACTGGTCAACAGAGCTGGGCTCGAAGCGGAAACAGGCAAGGGGGCTGAGATGGGGATGGTGAGTGGAGCCGAGGCTGGGGCAGGAAGTGTGGTGGGGACAGAGATGGGGAGTGAAGATGACGCTGGAACTGAGACTGTAGAGGACACAGGACTAGCAAGAGGAGAGGAGTTGGGAATTGGCATTGGAGAAGAGGCTGGCCCAGGGAGTGAGGATGGCACATGGAGAGGAGAAGAGATGGTCAAGGGGGCAGTTCCGGGGGTTGAAGCTGTGGAGAGAGAGAATGAGTTAGCCCCAGAATAACTTCCTGACCCTTTCCTGACTCTGTCCCACCTTTCCCTTACCCCCAAGCTTCCCATTTCCCCGAAGGCATTCACTCCCACAACATGAAGTCAAACATCCAAGTACTGTGACAACTTTAGATTTTCTTTCCCTCCAAGATTCCAGCAAATGTATCTTGAAATTAGGTCAGGGCTCAGGCAGCCCAGTTCTGGGGCCCCCTACATATCAAGACAGTATACTGATATGAAGAAACTTGCACTAAAACTAAGAAACCTTCGGGCAACCCCATCTCATCTCCATTCCTGGCAAGGATTTCTGGCCTCAGCCACCTGGACTCACCACTGACTTCAGGTGAAGGACTGTGGACCAGCTTGAGAAGAGGCCTCACCAGAGTGGGTGTGGGCATGGGGGCTCGGGCAGTACCCAGAGTAGGTGTGGGTAGCCGGCCAGGGGTTAACGTGGGGCGTGGATTCAACACAGCTGGAAGCCCAGAGCTCGGAGGCCGGGGTGCTGGGGCCAACGGAGGAACAGGAGTCAGTCCATCCCGAGGGGCTTGTCTCACTACAATCTTCACCACGCCTGTATTATTCACCATGGTTGGTGGCACTGCAAGAGGAAGCTACACTGAGAGGAAGGTAGAAAAGAAACAAGAGACCCAAAGGATGGAAGAAGTCCAGGGGCAGGAGAAGGTGGCAGACAGGTATCGTAGATATTCGTAAGGGAAAACAACACTAAGGAAAGGCTGGACAGACAGTAGCCCAGCGCATGCCTGGAAGGACCAAGGCCAGCAAGGGCTAAGGAATTAGGAAGGCCAGGAGCCTCACCCTGGTTAGCAGCAAGCGGAAGGCTGAGGCCAGTGGGGGCAAGGGTGGTGCTGGGGGTCGAAGAAGGCAGCACAGAGACAGGGGTAGGGCCAGGGGTCGGGGCCACGGCCTGGATGAGGGCCACATGGGCAGGCTGGCTGATGAGGTGGTGCTGCCCCCCTGCTGACACGAGGTGCACCACATTCCCTGGGTTAAGGGAAGAGAGAAAGAGAGAGAGAGAAGCAGCTATCAGCCTGAGGAGGGCAGAGGCAAGGCAAGAAGAGAGGGAAAGAACAGAGGGAATAAATTATCTAGAATGACCTCTTCCCTATCTTTATCCAAGATCCCTCCAACCGTGCCCGTTGGCCCCACCCACCAAAAGCTTGGGAAAGAAACATTAAGGCTGACATTTAAAAAAGTCACAAAAACAAAGAGACAGGGAAGAGGAGGAAAAAGGCAGGACAGGGGGTGGGTTTTACCTACTTTGCAGCGGGCGGGGCTGCCCCACAGCAAGCTGGCGCACCTGGGCACCAGTCAGTGTCAGCTTGTTGCCCTGGATTTGGAAGGTGAGAGGTTTGCTTCCCCCTGCATTAGCCACTGGACGTTGTGCCAGTGAGGCTAACTGCCCGATGCTGACCACTTCACCTGCTAAAAACAGAGAAGGCCTTATTGTACACAAGGTTCATCCTGCTCAACACCACTTCACAGACCCCATGAAGCACACCTCTCCCCTGAGTGTCCAGTCCAACCAACCACGCCTTTCCCACAATTTACTGTGTCCCAACAAACTCAGTCTCCACCTACAGCCTTTGAGCTTTTCATGTGCTACTCCTTCCAATCCCATTTGCTTAGCAATCTCCTTTATATTCTCTAACACGGCCTGCCACAAGACTGAGTTAACCACCACCCTCTGCTCTACACTGCCCTTTTACCCCAAATACTTTTCTACCGCTAGTCTTACCACTATTTATTCACCTATGTGTCATCTCCCTATGTCAATTCCTTAAGGGCTCTTAATTATGATCTAACAACGTCTGGTGTAATACCTAACATGCTAGCTGCCTCAATTTTTTTTGACACGGGGTCTTGCTCATGATTGCAGTGGCACAACCATGGCTTACTGCAGCTTCCAAACTCCTGGCTCAAGCAATCCTCCAACCTTGGCCTCCCAAAGCGCTGGGATTATAGACATGAGCCATTATGCCTGACCCGGCTGCCTAAAATTTGATGCTGTCATAGTCCTGAGCTTTCCTCCCATCTCAAGTCCCTCACCACAGAGCCCTGGGAACTTACAGGGCAGGCGAGCTTGCATATCGGGAGATAGAATGAGGCGCTGTGGTGCAGGAGTCGGAACTGGCACTGCTGTAGTGGTAGCAGTTGCCGTGGTGGTAGAAGAGGTGGTGGCAGCAGCAGGAGGGAAGGTGTAACCTGGTGGCACTGTCAGGGGCTTCAACAGGCTAGAGGAGCCTGGAGGTGGGGCTGGGCTCAGGCGAACTGGGGCAGGTGGTGTTGGCTTTAGGGACAAGGTTGGCGTGGGAGGCCGTGAGGTCCCACTCAGGACTCCCAGGGGGGATGGCAACACTGCAGACACAAAGCAAACACCTGTCAGATATACCCTGACTAAAGCCTTGGCCTGGTCCCAGAAGCCTCCATCCTCCCTTCCAGCCCATCAAATACTAGACCCCTGTCCCCAGCCCAGCTCCTCAAACCCTTTAATTTCACTACTTCTTCCTCAGTCTGAACAACTTTTCTGAAGCACCACGCATCATCCTTGGCTCCCTTTCAACTCACCCTGAGTGAGAGAACCACTGTTTGGCTGCAGTGGAGGCAAGATGACAGGGCCAGGAGGCCGAGATGCAGGAATAAGCGGGGGCCCAGCAGGTGAGGCTGAAACCATCAGTGGTGCTGGCAGCACTGAGGGGGCTGGGCCAGGGGTGGGCTGGGCTGAGAGCTCAGGACCTGGAGGGGGTCGAACCGGGACAGGGCCCAGGGGCGTCCGTGGGTTGTTCACTACGACCACTGTCCGGCCTTCTTGCTTAGGTACTGGCTGCAGCATCCTATGAGGAAAAATTTAGGGAGTGGGTAGGGAGAGAAGGAGAATAAGAGGTAGCAAAATCAAAGAAAAGAAGAAAATGAAGCAGGGAGGCAGATTATAAAAGCAAAGGAAAGGAAAGAGACCCAAAGGAGAAAGAGGAATAGGAATTTAAGATAATCAGAAAGCACAAAACAGACAGAATGGGAGAAAAAGTGACTAACACAGAAGCCCATCCCAGCACCCTCTTCTAGTTATTCTCTCCCCGATTCCCTCCACGTGTCTGCACCCATCCCATACAAATATTCCAGCCTTGTATCCAACTCTTTTCTTCCCATCCCAGGCCCCTCCGGCCAGCTTTCAGCCACTTATTCTAGGAACCATCCCCTCATTCCTTAGTCCTTGTACCTGTTGACCTTCATCTTGACTGGCTTGGGCCGGGGTGGGGGATCAGGAGCAGTAGCCACCTCTAGCAGTACCCGGCGAGAGAGGCGGTGCCGGGGCAGAAATGTGTCTGTCTCATATCGAGAGACACGACCTTCCAGGCCAATAAGGTCAAATCGACCCATGTCTATCCGCTGCCACAAGAAAGAACACAAAGCACAGTCACAAAGAACAAAATCACACATCCTTTGAAATGTAGATGTAGCTGGAGGCCATTATCCTTAAGTGAATTAACACAGAAACAGAAAACCAAATACCACATGTACTCAGACACAAGTGGGAGCTAAACATTGGGCACGCATGAACATAAAGATGAGAACAAGACACACCAGAAACGACTGGGTGAAAGGGCTGAAAAACTACCTGTTGGGGACCATGCTCACAACCTGAGTGACAGGATCAATTGTACCCCAAACCTCAGCATCATGCAATATAATACCCCATGTAAGAGACCTGCACATGTACACCCTTACTCCAAAATAAAAGCCTGGGCGTGGTGGCTCAAACCTGTAATCCCAGCACTCTGGGAGGCCAAGATTGGGGAACTGTGTGACCCCAGGAACTTGAGATCAGCCTAGGCAACATAGTAAGACCCTGTCTCTACAGAAAATAAAAAATTAGCCAGGCATGTTAGCACGCACCTGTAGTCCCAGCTACTCAGGAGACTCAGGCAAGAGGATTGCTTGAGTCCAGGTGGCTGAGGCTGCAGTGAGCTATGATCATGCCACTGCACCCCAGCCTGGGCCACAGAACAAGACTCTGTCTCAAAAGAAAAAAAAAGTAAAAAAATAAATAATAGGCAGGGCACTATGGCTCACACCTGTAATCCTTCTACTTTAGGAGGCCAAAGTGGGCAGATCACTTGAGGCCAGGAGTTCGAGACCAGCCTAGCCAACACGGTGAAACCCCATCTCTACTAAAAATACAACCAGAGTGGTTGTGCACACCTGTAGTCCCAGCTGCTCAGGAAGCTGAGGCACAAGAATCGAGAATCACTTGAACCCAAGAGGCAGAGGTTGCAGTGAGCCGAGACTGCACCATTGTACTTCAGCCTGGGTGACAGAGTGAGACTCGGTCTCAAAAAAAAAAAAAAAAAGTAGTAATAACAACACAATGCACAGTGTCAAAGATGCCAATTTTACAATAATTTATTGGATATGATGCCAAAAGCACAGCCAACAAAAGAAAAAAAATAGATAAATTGGACTACATCAAAATTTGTAACTGAGGGCCAGGTGCAGTGGCTCACGCTTGTAATCCCAGAACATTGGGAGGCCAAGGCGGGCAGATTACCTGAGATCAGGAGTTCCAGACCAGCTGAGCAACATGGTGAAACCCCATCTCTACTAAAAATACAAAAATTAGCTGGGCATTGTGGCACTCACCTGTAGTCCCAGCTAGTTGGGAATGAGCCAGGAGAATCACTTGAACCCAGGAGGTGGAGGTTACAGTGAGCTGACACTGCACCACTGTACACCAGCCTGAGCAACAGAGTGAGACTCCATCTCAAAAAAAAAAAAAAAAAGGGGTGGGGCCAGGCACAGTGGCTCATGCCTGTAATCCCAGCACTTTGGGAGGCCGAGGCAGACAGATCACCTCAGGTCAGGAGTTTGAGATTAGTCTGGCCAGCATGGTGAAACCCCATCTCTACTAAAAACAAAAATTAGTTGGGCATGGTGGCACATGCCCGTAATCCCAGTTACTGGGGAGGCTGAGGCAGAAGAATTGCTTGAACCCGGGAGGTGCAGGCTGCAGTGAGCCGAGATCGCACCGTTGGACTCTAGCATGGGCAACAAGAGTAAAACCCAAAAAAAAAAAAAAAATTTAAAACGAGGTGTGGTAGCTCACGCCTATAATCCCAGGCCTTTGGGAGGCCAAGGTGGAAGGATCACTTGAGGCCAGGAGTTCAAGACCCATCTAGGCAACATATCAACACCCGATCTCTACAAAAAAATTAAAATAAAAAATAAAAAAATCACTCAAGTATAGTGGTACATGCATATAGTTTCAGCTACTCGGCCCAGGAGTTTGAAACCAGCCTGAGCAACATGGTGAGACACCATTTCTACAAGAAAACTAAAAAAAAAAAAAAATTAGCGAGGCCGGGTGCGGTGGCTCATACCTGTAATCCCAGCACTTTAGGAGGCTGAGATGGGCAGATCGCGAGGTCAAGAGATGAAGACCATCCTGGGAAACATGGTGAAACCCCATCTCTACTAAAAATACAAAAATTAGCTGGGTGTGGTGGTACGCGCCTGTAGCCCCAGCTACTCAGGAGGCTGTGGAGAATTGCTTGAACCTGGGAGGCAGAGGTTGCAGTGAGCCAAGATGGCACCACTGCACTCCAGCCTGAGGTCAGAGCGAGACTCCGTCTCAAAAAAAAAAAAAAAAAAAAAACAAAACCAGGCATGGTAGTGCATACCCGTGGTCCCAGCTAGTCAGAAGGCTGAGGTGGGAGGACTACTTGAGCCCAGGAGTTCAAGGCTGCAGTGAGCTATGATTGTATCACTGAACTCTAGCCTTGGTGACAGAGATAGACCTTGTCTCGGGAAAAAAAAAAAAAAAACCACCAAAAACAAGTGTTTGCGCATCAAAAAACACTATCAACAGAGTGAAGACAACTCATGGAATGTGACAAAATATTTGCAAGTCATACATCTGGTAACGGGTTAATTTCCAAAGTATATAATGAAGTCCTACAGCTCAACAACCACCACACAAACACCCAAAATAAACAAGTCTTCAATAGACATTTATCCAAAAATATAGACAAGGGGCCAATGAGCACATGAAAAGATCCTTGACAGCCCTCATCATTAAGGAAATGCAAACCAAAACCACAATGAAATACCAATTCACACTCATTAATATGGGTATAATAAAACAAAGAACAGGTAATGGCAAGGATGTGGAAAAATCAGAACCCTTGTGCCCTGCTAGGGTGGAAATGTAAAACATGCAGCTACTATGGAAAACAGCGTAGAGGTTTTCCCAATATGCAGAAATCGAATTACTGTATGTTACAGCAATATTCCTTTTAAGTAAATACCCAAAGTAAAAAGCAGAGATATTTGTACATCCATGTTCACAGCCTTATTACAAGAGACAAAAGGTGGAAAGAATCCAAGTGCCCACTGATAGATGAATGGATAAACAAAATGTGATGCAAATGCTCCCAGACTTACGATGAAGTTACATCCCAATAAACCCTCAGCAAATCGAGAATTTAATGCCCTTTAATACCCTTGACAAGCCCATCAAAAAGTAAAAAACTGTAAGCTGAATCATTCTAAGTCCAGATGCTCCTCAATTTACAATGGGGTTACATCCTGATAAATTCACAGTGAAGCCAAAAACATATTAAGTTGAACCATCGTTAAGTCACATGACTAGAGTACAATAAAACTAAGGGAACGATACTTAGGGGAGTAATAAGGATGCAAAAGTCAGACCCCAGTCTAACGAAAAGAAGTACATGGTTGGGGTAATGCCAATAACCTTTATATTTCACATTAATGGAATCATACTTACCTGGAGGGGATGGACATCCGTGGCCCTTAGCACCAGAGAGGCGGTGCTGAAGCAGATGCCTGGGGTGATGAAAGGGGAGGTAACCGGTCGAGGGTCGAACAGATTTGGATGATTGCAAACTTTTCTCAGCTGCATCAAAATGTTGATGACGCTCATGAAATGGCCTGTGGCTAGTGTCTCCTTAGTTCTAGGGAAAGAGGAAAAATAAATGGGACGCCCTAACAGCCATCTACACTTCAATCTCGAGTCCCAGGGCCCACCCTCTTTCCTCCCTTACGTGGTTTGTGCCATGAAGTCATCATAGAGACAGCGTTGACGCTTGGAGAGCCTGCAGCGGATAACATGCTCATACTTTTTGGGCATCTGCTTCTCAACATCCACCTTAACTCGGCGCAGTAAAAAAGGCCTCAAAACCTAAAAGCAAATTAAGCAGGAGGCTAAACAGGAGAACTCAGGCACCAAACCCCAGCCTAAGCCCCTCAGTAAACACGAATGGAGCCATACGGCACACCATATCAGACACCAACCACACACAGATGAGTCAACTGCAAGCCCTCAAGGGATCTGCCGTCTGCTGAAGGAGACAGACACAAAATGATACCACGACATAGGAAGTGATATAAGGAAGCACTGTGGGCAGACCAACTATGCAGGAGAGAAAACTCAAACTAGATTTTGAGGAGTGATTGTAAGTTTACAAGATGATGCAAATAAATCTAGAAGATGAGGAGAACAAAAACTGTGGCCTTGACGGGAAATAAAACGAAAGGCAAATCTGAAATCTCAGAAGATAAAATCCGATAGGACACAGTCATCAATGTCTACAGTGACATGGAAGAAGGAAGGGAGGTAAATGAAGGAAAAGTAACAGTTAAGGAAGACTTCCTGTTTTCTAGCTTAGTTTACCAAATGATAGTGATTGACCAAGATGGCCTTACAACAGGCTATAAGGCCAGAGATGTCTGGCTTAGAACAGTGTTGAGTTCAAGAGGAACTTTCAATTAATGATACCAAGTCAGAAATCTAAATACAGGTCAAGTGATCTAGAAAGTCAAGGACTTTTAGCACAGATTGGAGAGTCTTTATCACATAAGAAATAGTCAAAGCTTTAGGAACGAGAAGGCCTGTGAGATATGTAGACTGAGAAGACAAAAAAAGTAAAGATTGGAATGCTGAAAGATGTTGTGATTTAAAAGCTGGGCAAAAAAGGAGAGCCAAAGAAGACCAGAGAGAGAAACACCAACAATATGAAGTTGAAGAAATCCAGGTAAAGAGAAATCCAAGCAGGGACCAATCAGCAGTACCACTCTACTCAAAGACAGTAAGGACAAAAACATCACCATTAAAAAAAAAAAAAAAAAAACAGGCTGGGAATGGTGGCTCACGCCTGTAATCCCAACACTTTGGGAGGCCAAGGGGGACAGGACGGATCATTTGAGGTCAGGAGTTTGAGACCAGCCTGGCCAAGATGGCGAAAACTGCCTCTACTAAAAAGAACAAATATTAGCTAGGTATGGTGGCGCAGACCTGTAACCCCAGCTACTCAGGAGGCTGAGGCAGGAGAATCACTTGAACCCGGGAGGTGGAGGCTGCAATGAGCCAGATCATGCCACTGCACTCCAGCCCGTGGGACAGAGCGAGACTCTGTTACAAAAAAAAAAAAAAAAAAGGCCAGGCGCAGTGACTCACGCCTGTAATTCCAGCATTTTGGGAGACCAAGGCAGGCGGAACAAGAGGTCAGGAGATTGAGACTATCCTGGCTAACACGGTGAAACCCCGTCTCTACTAAAAATACAAAAAATTAGCTGGGCGTCGTGGCGGACGCCTTTAGTCCCAGCTACTCGAGAGGCTGAGGCAGGAGAATGGCGTGAACCCGGGAGGCAGAGCTTGCAGTGAGTGGAGATCGAGACACTGCACTCCAGCCTGGGCAACAGATCGAGACTCCGTCCAAAAAAAAAAAAAAAAACAAACAGAATGGATGACTAAGATGAGGTCATTCAATCTGGCAATGGGTAGTCACTAAAACATTGCAGCTTGACAACTGAGTGAGTTCAGCCTGGCACTGACTTCCCTCTCCCCAAGGGTTTCCTGGGCAATGCCCAGGAATAGTTCCTCACCATTCCCAATACCCTGACAAACTGTTGCAGGCCCTACCTTGTGGAGGCGTTTGACAAGACCTTCATTATACTCTTGGCTGCCCTCAATCATGCCAGTTAGGGGATTAGAGAACCACTCCTTGAACTCGCGATGAGACTGGAAGACATGGGGCATCAAAAAGTGCATCAAGGACCACAGCTCCATGAGGCTGTTCTGCAAGGGAGTTCCTGTCAGGAGCAGGCGCCTCTGGCTGCAAAGACACAGAGAGAATCAGAGGGAGGATGGTCAGCAGCTCCCAACCTTCTGAGCATTCTGATACATTCCTCAACCCAGGCAGCCCTCCCTTTAAGCCAAGTCAACCCTCCCATGAATCCCCATCTCCATCTCCACCTGTTGAAGTTGAGGAGTGACTGCCAGCGCTGTGACTTGAAGTTCTTGATGTTCTGCGCCTCATCCAGAATGAGATAGCGCCAATTCTTGCGGCGGAAGGCCTGGTGGTCCTGCAGCACCAGCTTGTAAGATGTGATACAAACATGGAAGGCATTGGGCTTGGTCCAGCCCTGAAGGATCAAAGACAGAAAGTAGCAGATAGTGGGATGAAAAGATAAGAGAGCCAAGGGAAGACATGCTAAACTCCTCAAAGGACAGAAATCAGGTTAGAAGAAAAGAGAAAGTCCCAGCAAAAGAATGGAGCGACAGAAAGAGGAGGGGCCTGGGCATGGTGGCTCACAGCTATAGTCTCAGTACTTTGGGAGGCTGAGGTGGGAGGATCTCGAGCCCATGTGCTCAAGGTCAGCTTGGTTAACATAGACCCATCTCTATCTTTGCAAGAAATTTAAAAATTAAAAAAAAAAAAGAAAAGAAAAGAAAGTGGAGGGAAAGGAATTCAACTGAAGAAAGGGCTTAAAAACAAAGGAGGCATCCATGGGGGGAAAGTGACCACATGAAAGATCGAACCTGCCGCTTGAGCTTCCTCTCTTTCTGGGCTCCATAGTAAGTGAGGATTTTAAAGCTGGGGCACCACCGTTTCAACTCCATTTCCCAGTTCAACATCACACTGGTGGGAACAATGATTAAATGGGGACCCCAGTTACCTGTTTGACAAAAAAATGAGAGATGGTAAGGAAATGTAAATTCTGTGGTTCCGACTCCTCAGTTATAACCCTGACCACCCTTTGGCCCTTCCTAGGAATCCCTCCTCTCTATACAGTTAATGACCAGAGTCAATGAAGCAGGAGTCAATGAAACCGGAGTCATCACTAACAAGCTCCCCAGGGAGCTAGACTAGGGGGCACAAAAGAAGGGGCCTTGCCTACTTACCTTTCTCACAAGCCAAGTGGGCAAGCAGGGAGATGGTCTGGATGGTCTTCCCAAGCCCCATCTCATCAGCAAGAATGCCATTAAGCTTCTTCTCATACATGGTAACCAGCCAGTCTAGGCCAATGTGCTGGTACTCCCGGAGCTGGCCCCGCAGAAGCAGGGGGATGGGCGTCTTTACCTGGCAGAGAGGAAAAAGAGGTAACACAATGGAAATGAGGCATTTATCATGGGGACATGAGAAAAGTCAAGACAAGAGAAACGAGAGGCCAGAACCTGGGGATACCTGGGTAGTGGCCAGCGTGTAACCCTTGGGCTGGAGACTTTCAGCTGCTGCAGCAATGTCAGTAATTTCTTTCTTTGGACCTAGAGTAGTGGTGGGCCCTGGAGTGGGAGGCCCACTGCCTGCATCTGCCTCACTCCGCTCTTCATCCCTGGCAAGCAAGTACTCCACCCCAAAATCATCATCTTCCTCCTCTTCATCTGCTTGGCTCTGTGATTGGGCATCCTCAGACTCTTCGGACTCAGATTCCTCTGATGCTGAACTTCCACTTGTTTCTTCCTCTTCTGAATGTTCATCTTCCTCATCCTCACTCTGGTCCTCCACAGAGTCTAAAGTGTAAGACCAAGGCTTACTGCTCACAATACCTGCTCCTCCAATGGCCACCCTCCCCGGCTCCTGCTTCATGACCACATATTCACCTGACTGACTGCTACTATCCTCCTGAGGAGCTTCTTCCGCTTCCACGGCCCCCTCTGGTTCACAATCAGAGCTATTAGCATCAACCTCATCTTCATCCTCATCATCACTGCTCCCAGAGCCTGGGGCATAGGCTCCTGCATACTGCTGCAACAGCTCCTCCATGGAAAGCTCACCTGGAAGAGAAATAAAAGCGAAGCTTTTGGCTACTCTGAGGGGAGGGAGACGGGGAGGTCTGAGTGGTACCAATTAATTTTACCTAGGTCTCTGTAGATACTGCTAGGCCCAGGTCTGAGGGGAGGCAAAATAGCTTACTTTCAGCATCAGCTAGCAAAACCAAGCCCCACAACCTGGGGGATGTACCATGGGAAGTGGGAAGAACATTATCAACCTGGTGAGCCTCTCAAGGTCCATGTCAGATACTGCCAATATCTTCTTACATTAGCTCTTTCCTCCATTTCACTCCCACATCACCATTTAAACTTCTATCATAATCACTCATCCCTTTTTAATCATTATTCGTTTACAAGTCTGTCGTAGTCATTAGACACAGAATTCCTCCAGAGTGGATACAAACTGCCTTATTCATCTCTTTATCCTTGGTACTGCACAGGGCAGACACCAAGTGGATGCTTAGTAAAATGTCTGGTGAACGTCACCTTCTCGAGCCAACTCGCTCAGCTCCACGGCATGATCCACCTCCCCTTCCAACTGTTCCTCAGCTGCTATAGTGTCCTCTTCATCCTCCGCTAGGAAAGAGACAGAAGCAGGATCAACGGGGATAGAGGCTAGAGGCACAGGACACAGTCCAAATGAAACAGATGAGAAAGCCTGAAAGGTTAGGTCCAGACAATTCATTCAAGGGGTAAGTGGCAATAGGACAAACAGAACAGCCCTGACCTTCCTCCTCATTGGCAGTAAACTCTTCATCATCTTCATCTGGATGCCAAGGCCGTTTGTTTCGCTGTGTGACAGCAGAGGGTGGGGGCTTTACCTGTATGGCAAAAGATAAAAAAGGAAAGGGTCTAAGGTTAGAGTAGCAGAAGAATGGCACAAACTTGAAAAAGATGTCACAGGAGAATCTCTATCCCATTGAGTGACAGCTGCCACTGGTACAATCCCAGGGCAAGAATACAATCAAGGGTTTTCTCTCAGCACCAACTACCAAATCCTGGCCCCACCGCCTGGGGAAAGACCTGTGAAAGTACCAGATAACAAAGAAAGGTACCCAACATATCTCCATGCACTTGGGACATATGGAGAAAGAGAAAAGATTTAAGGGTACCATGCCAGCTTCCAACCTATAAGGCCAATGAGGGAATATTAGGGCACGCTCAGAGAAGTGGCAAGAACAGTCAGAGCAAGTACTTTTTAAAGACCACATAGCAATTTAAAGAGTAAAGTATAATACACTCTTCCACTATAGTGCCAAAACCTGCCAATCATAAAATGCAACTTGCCCCAAACAGATTCTTCCCCAGTCATCCCCAAAGAAGAGCCCAAATGTCCATCACTAGGTAGAACTCTCAAAACCCATAACCAACCTCATAGCGCCGAACTCAGACCCTGAACCTCTCCCTCTGCTCCCCCTCTGAACCCTCCCCTCTGCTCCTTCTGCCTATACCTCCAACACCTGAGGGGGCTCTTCTTCAGCACCTTCTTCAGGCCCATCTCGGGTGTCACTATCATGAGATGAGGGGGTTTGAGAGGGGCTGGAAGGCCCTTCCAGTAGTTGAGGGGGAAGGGAACGGAGCAGCTCTTCCAGTGGCAATTCTCCCTCACGGCGAAGCAGCTCAATCTCACGCCTCTGGGCCTCTGCATCATTGCCCTCCTGTTGTTCTTCTACCTCAATCGTTTCCTCATCATCCTCTTCCTCCTCCTCTTGGGGTTGAAAGTCCCCATCTATAGCAGGAGAACAAGGTCACAAAGTCCACGGGCCCTGCAAGCCACAGGGTGGGTTTTTCAGCTCTGGAAAGGGTACACGAGGAAGAGTAACAAGGCCAAAGAGAACACACACCTTCATCATCCAGGCGGGAAGCAGGGGGTGGAGGACTGGAGGCAGCTGAGGAAGAGCCGAGGCAAGGGGAAGAGCCTGCTTTGCTGCAGGCTAACGGCTGGTTGAGGCTCTGAGATAGAAGGTCCGAGTACTTTTCAGTTTGCCCGACAATGAAGTCCAAATGCAGGTCCAGGGCTTTTTTGCGCTTTTCCTCAAGCCGGGACTGTTGCTTGAATTGCACCACCTGCCACAGATGTGAAAGGGACTGCTCACCAAGATAACCATTTATTTAGGTACTTTTACCCGATGTTTAGGGAGGCCTTCTTTAACCAGATCCTGGGCTGGCCTCTTAGGAGAGTAAGGCTAAATAACCTTCGGGGCTTATTATGGTCCAAAGGAAGCACAAAGGGAGCATGCAGGAAGAAGAGCCAGCTTAGCCTCAGTTGGAGGGAAGATTTGCAATCTGATTTTTTTTTAAGAGATGAGGTCTCACTATGTTGGCCAGGTTGGTGTCAAACTCCTGGGCTCCAATGATCCTCCTGCCTTGCCCTCCCACATAGGTGGAACTACAGGCATGTATCACCACACCCAGCTGGAACTGGATCTCAAAAAGTAGGCAGATGGGCTGGGCACAGTGACTCATGCCTGTATTCTCAGCACTCTGGAAGGTTGAAGCGGGAGGATCCCAGGAGGTCAGGAGTTCGAGACCAGCCTGACCAACATGGTGAAACCCCCATCTCTACTAAAAATACGAAAATTAGCCAGGCTTGGTGGTGGGCGCCTGTAATCTCAGCTACTCGGAAGGCAGAGGCAGGAGAATTGCTTGAACTTGGGAGGCAAAGGTTGCAGTGAGCCCAGATTGAACCACTGTACTCTAGCCTGGGAACAAAGCGAGACTCCATCTCAAAAACAAAAAAAAAACAGGTAGGTGAAGCCAGGCATGGTGGTTCAAACTTTGGGAGGTCAAAGCGAGAGGATCCCTTGAGCCTAGGAATTCAAGATCAGCTTGGTGTGTAACAGCGAGACTTTGTCTCCACAAAAAAATATTTTTAAGCCATGGTGGCTCACGCCTATAATCCCAGCACTTTGAGAGGCCAGGGCAGGTGGATAACCTGATTTCAGGAGTTCAAGACCAGCCTGGCCAACATGACAAAACCCTGTCTCTACTAAAAATACAAAAATTAGCCAGACATGGTAGCACATGCCGGAGTAGTAATCCCAGCTACTCCGGAGAGTGAGGCAGGAGAATCACTTGAGCCCAGGAGGCAGAGGCTGCAGTAAGCCAAGATTGCGCCACTGCCCTGGGTGATGGGGCGAGACTCTGTTTCACAAAAAAATTAAAAAAAAAAAAAGAAATTAAAAAAAATTTTTCTTAGTTAGCAAGATGTGGTAGCACGTGCCTGTAGTCCCAGATACTTGGGAGGCTGAAGCAGGAAGATCGCGTGAGCCCAGGAGGTTGAGGATGCAGTAAGCCGTGATCGTACCACTGCACTCCAGCCTAGGCCACACAGCAAGACCCTGTCCAAGACAACTAAAAAATAGGTAGCTGTTCCCTAAGTACACATGAGGAAAAAGGCATTCCCAGCAGCATAAAGTCCATGTGTAAATGGCCAGAGATATACAAAAGAAAGATGGGTGTGGAGTGAAAGGGAGAAGGAAAGAACACGGCAGGAGGCAAGACCGAGAATATAGACGGAATCCAGGTAGTACTTAAGAAATAATTACAACTTACTATACGGGCAGTGAGAACTTTGGCAGAATTTAAGCATGTAAGTGGCACAAATACATTTTAGTAAACACATGCTAAATGCCCTGCAAGGGACAGGTGGCCTAGAGCTGTCAAGGAGAACTATTAACAATCCCCAAAGAAAGAACTCATATTTTGCCACTATACTTTTTTATCCACACAACATAAGCATTATTAGAGTTGCCTGAAATTATATTTACTCCCTCAAGAAGTTTTGATAATTCCTACTACCATGCCATCTACCAATCTAATCCAAGGCCATTTCCCTTTCCTGATCCCCACTGTCCACCTTCTCCACATTGCTCCAGAACTGCCTGACATCCTTGGCCATGGTGGAAGCGATTCGACGCAGCTTGGCCTGCTCCTCCCTCCGGGCCCGTTCCTCTTTCTGCCGCTGCTCCTCGTGGTGCCGGATCACCATGCGCACCACCTGTGGGAATGAAAACCCAGGGTGAAAACACTCAAAGCCAGACTTCCCCACCCAAAGGCAAAGAAAATAATCAAGGCCAAGAAATCTGGAAAGTCAAGAGCTTGCCTCTTAATGCCTACATCATTCTGTTTGGTCACCTTCCAACTAACCCACCTTTCAATGGAAAGTACAAACCTGAAAAGGAAAAGGCAGTCCCAGTGGAAGACCTACCTTACGGGCCACACCCCGTTTCCAGCGGCGCTCCTGAGCAAAGTCAGCAGAGAGCCACTGCATCTCTTCGCACAGATAGTCCCAGTGACCTTTGGGGCGAGGGGGCTCTGGCACCTTAGGCAGCCTCTTCAGTGACCAGAAACCCTCCTTCCGCAGCTCAGCAATCCGAGTCTCGATCTCAGCCTCCTAATCAGGGAGAGCCAGATCAATCAACAGTTCTAAACACACAATCCGTCTCACTGCCACGGCTGAATTCCTGAACAGTAAGTGGGCTGATTGTGTTATGCTTATGCTTAGTCCACATACCAAACCTACAGGGAGGTACCATACTCTCTTCAGAAAAGGGAAAATAGATCAGGGAGATTAAGTGATTTGCCCAAGATCACACAGCTAGAAAGTAATAGAAGATGGCAATCAAAAACAGGTCTGAGAGCCGGGCGCGGTGGCTCACGCCTGTAATCCCAGCACTTTGGGAGGCCGAG